TCGAAGAGAGCTTTTAACATGGCATCAGATGGGAATTTCAGAGCACAGGGCTCCCCTTCCTCTCTACATTACAAACAACTGCTGCAGAGCCAGTCCCTGTCTCCAAAGGCACTTTCTTTACCTGTGGTTACAGTGGTAAGAAAATCTCTCATTTCTGTGTTGTTTAAAGTGTTTCTTGCTTATTTCCTTACCATTCATGATTTTCTAAATGGAAATTTATTAACCAGTATATAAATATACCAAATGGTTATGAGCACTTGTAAATAGCAGCAGAAATGGTCTAGGCAAAGACAGCTCCAGGTAGCCACAAATGACAGCTTTCTGGCCATCAACTTCCCAAACCATCCCAACCAGACTGCCAGGCTCCAGGTCAGCCACTGCAGGCCTCCAGTTCTCAACATGGCTGAAAATAAAATCCTCTCTTCCCACAGCAGCCGTTAGGGTCACTGATGATTTTTCCAGGCACGGACGGATGAGAGCAGCACAAAACCTCCCGTCCATCCTCCCACACAGAAGCTCTCCCTGGAGGTTTAATTTGCGATTTTTTTATGCTTAGTTAGATCTCAAAGAATGCAGAAATCACAACAAAACCCTCATGGGTGCATATGGACAAAGGATACACTTAGCTGTATTTCCCTTGTCCTCATCCTACATTACTGGCCGTTTAGAAGACAGGAAAAAATCAGGCAGCTTTGCTACTTCTCTAGCTAAAATACCCAGAAATGTCATCCAGCAGTGACTGATGCTTAAAAAAAAATAAATAAATTCAAGCCAAAGCTGTACTCTGAAATGGCTGGGAACCATCTCCCCCAGTAATCTAAATGCTGGTTGTACATGGATATTCGATTTTCTCCTCCACCCTCGCACTGATTATCTAACCAGTCACCACCACGCATCTCAGAAGAGAAGCTATGCTTCCTCCCTGCGACCCCTGATCTTACAAACACGGGGATAAGGAAACAAAAATAGCAACTGATCTGTAATTTTTTGTGCTTGTGAAGCCTTCCAGAAGACAGCAGCAGCAGCTACCGGCTGGATGGGACAAAACCTGAAGAGGTTGTGAAGCACAGCAGGGTGCTGGCCATCAGCAAACCCCCACCGCGCTTCTCTGGTGCACGTGGATGTTGTCTCAGTGAGGCTGAAATGACAGAGGACTGACAAGATCTTTCACTAACTTCAGGGCAGAGACGTGGACTTGAACGTGGCAATTCTGAATCATGCACACCACGTTACCAATGGCTGTGTGCAAGGGAAGAAACTCAACCAGAAGGGAAAGGACGGGAGCACGCGTTCGTGGGCGGCATGTTCTCAGGCTGGAGCAGTAAAGGAAAGCATGGAGCAGTGCAATGCTGCACAGAGGTTTTATGTTTGGTATATTGCAGATGGGAACAAGATGGTTTAGAACCATTCCAAGGTCACTGCTGCCCAGTAACCCAGGTTGTCTAACTGCTGTCCCGGGGAACACAGCACAAACTGGCTAACACATCTCCTTTGGCCAACAAGGAGGAGGAAAAGGTTTCATTTCAGATCGAGCAAGAGCTGTGTAATTGCTGAAGAAATGAAGAATAATTACAAGTGGTTTGCCGGGTAATTACCTGCCATTACATTTTCCTGTAGCACAGGGGGGTAGCTACATGTACAAGAAAGGGAAGGCAGGATGCTGTGTTAGCATGGCAGACATGCCCAGCGTGCCGCTACGTAGTTATCCGGCCCGGTGCGTGCACACACACTCGCAGGTCCCACCTGCTCGAAGCATCCATGGATGACACCGCCGTCAGTACACCGGCTTGGGATTCCACCCAATTCTATCCTCAGCTCCATCACAGTTTTCCTGTACTACCTCAGCCATTTCCCATTTATAGGAACAGGCTCAGTCCCTACACAGCAGGTTTACGAAGACAAACACATGAATGAGCAGCATTCACGTGCCTTGCAAAGAAACCCCACTGAAAAGCAAAGTAAAAATGAGAGATCAACATCTGTCCCAGAGCGCACGACAACCCCACAGACCGCCGCATGCTGGGATGTTTCCCTGGCTCCTCTTTTCCATTCATCACGATGCAGAGAAATAATAGAGACCTGGGAGCTATCCCTAAAGGAAATGTTTGTCCTCCAGTAAGTGCAGAGCTGGTCACATATTAGCTGCAATAAATGGGCAGCTTCTGAACTTCTATGAGTGGTGATGTGAACTAACTGAAAGGTTTCTTTGGGAAGATGACAGCAGCAGCAAATTCCAAAACTGCAGGAGAAAATAGAGGACTTTTGCATTTTTGAAATATACTGAAGAGAAACAGAACAGATTTAAACAATGCTATCAGGGGATTATGAGTACGATTTGAGGCCACTAAGGGAGCGGAAGGCCCACCTTGGTACACTGCATAATGAAAGGAAATTTTAGAACTGAGCCAAGAGAGGAGGTTGCACATGTGAGCATATTAGGTTGAGGCATTCCTGTGTTAGTTACCTGTCACGTTCTGCCAGTAAAACCCAGTGTATTTCAGCAAATCAGCCATCCTCTCTCCTGCTGAGCTTACAGGGACAGAAAGTACCTTATAATTTAGAGAGGGTGGAAGAGCAACATATGAAACAGTATTTGGGAGGGGAGACAAAGCATTAGGAGGGGACATCCAAAAGAACTTAAGACAGTACAAAAGACAGAGGTAGAGAATCCCTGCTTTCAAACCAGTTCCACCAGTAATCCCTCACTGCTCCGTACCCAGGGCTTAATTACCATCTCTATAACTGCAGAGCTATGTTACCTGCTATACAAACGCTGTTATTATTACTACTGCTATTACGATCGAGCTTCAGCCCAGAGACCAATTTTAAGGCCAACTGTTCGGCTGCTCCATGTAAAGGTCCTGCTGCGAATCCCAGCAGCTCTTTGCTCTGCTCTCACAAGGGGGGAGCCGCCTGGCACACTCTCCAGGGCTTTCGCTGCTCCCCCGCAGAGCAGCGAGCTGCCAAAGCTATTTGCTCAGCAGCTTGTTCCCTTCTGCCCTTTCCCGACTGGACTACGGGAGCATGCAGTAGCAGAGGCAAGCGGGCTTGTGCTCCTGCTTGGTGCAACTGTTGGAGCACAGAGCTAAATTCCCGAAGAAAGGAGATACAGGCACAGAAATCACTTCATCCCCTCTATCTCTAGACTCCACATAGCCGAGCAGAAGCAAACACAGCAGGCAGCTCTCCAGACTCACTTTTATGTTGTTGCAATGGCTTTTACATCACCCCCCCCCCAGCCCATTTTCTGCTAACACAGAATTGTTTGCACCGTACATTTCTTGTTTCCAGCAATTTAGTTATAATTAGGGAGATATTACGAAAAAGCATCGCTGAGCAAAACAGGTACATTCACTCCAGAATTACATTGCTGCTCCAACAACCCCACTAGAGATGATAACTCCCACCTTAAAAAATAAAATACTTACAGTAAAAGCTTGTCCTCTTTCCTGCATTAAGAAGAAAACTGTCTCCCACTAGCTTCTGACAGCATGTGCAAGCCAGACTGAAAATTCAGGGCTTGAGTTCTTCCCTGAGAGGAAAACCACATTGCAGCGAGACACAGAGAGCTGCTTGAGAAATGATTCACATACGGAAGCAAGCTGGCTTCACCAGCGCTTTGGCATTCAGCACACACGCGCACACACATATGCACACTTGCTTACTCAGGGGAAAGAGAAATATTATATTTTCATCAAAGCAAGGAAGATTTATGCAAGAAAGACGTTTATATCCCACTCCAAAACCCGAAGGTGCTTCATTCCACAAAGCAGGCAGTTGCTTTCAGGAGCTCCTCATCCCAGCAGCAGAGCTGGGCACTGGGCAGAGGGCACGAGCCCCAGCCTGGTCTGCGTGATCCAGTCAGGTGGGAACATGCGGTACCTACAGCGTAGGAAGGGCAAGGAGGGGACAATAGCAAGAAGGCATTTTGCAGAGGAAATCACAGGGACAGCTTCCAGAAACTTTTATATTCCACACTAAATCTCTCCCACAGAATGCCAGCAGTCACAGCCAGAAGCAGCTCACGACATTTTCCGTGCCATTGTTACAAAAAAATGAAAAGGTGTGTGTGTGTGTGTGGAGGGAAGATGCATTATGACAAAGACTTCTGCAAGAAGAAGTGGGTAGAATCAGTCCTGCGCAACTTCTCGTGAGCTGACCAAAAAGCATCAGTCTGTTCTTCATTTAGAAGAGAGTGAATAAGGGTCAAGGGGAGCAATGCTCAAGAATATCCCACTTGCTTGCCCTGAGGAGCAATTCATCTCCGAAAATGGGCAGGGCCAGAGGTTCTACTGGGGTTAGATCAGGCAAAGGACAGCATCAAGCTAGAGGAAGCAGAGAGGATGCAAGGAGAAATCAAACCCAGATGTACGTTTCAACCTATAAACTTGAGGTATTTAGAACAGGGATTTTTGTTTGAGGCTGTGCAGAGGGAGATGTTTGCTCCCCAGAGGATGTCTGTCACCTAAGACTGAAACTAGAGATCAGGAACCTCCTCCTGGGCTGCAGCAGGGGCTCTGTGAACCACCAGTGAGAATCTAACATACAAGCAATCTCGTAATAACAGAGGCAAGATTTACAGTATGATCCTGGAACAGTTGTTGCAGCTGAACAGTTCAACCTTACCGCACCTCTTGGAACTCTGTATTCTGGGTGCCAAGGGGACTGAAAGGAAGCTAACGCTATGCCACGGGTTAATTTACTTTTCAATTCAATGTTGGCATCATTATTGTTATTGCAGAGCAACCAGACCTTAAAACACTAGAGTGAGTCCAAGCTGAGTCCCTTCTAAACATCATGGATTTTGGGTCCAACTCTGAGATATCCCTGAGAGTGGGAACTCTTACCTTCAGACCTTAAAACACAAGAACAAGACCACACCATGTACTTACCTCACAAATGATAATGGTCTATGTTCAGTAGGTGCCAAGCTTACCTTATTAGCTCCAAATCCCTGAACATTCACCCCATCATACCAGCTGCCACTGGAAGTTCCCACCTACCTGCAGCACCAACCCTTCTATCCAGCCTGCCTCACCGTTCCGTAATTTTAGACATCTGAAATTCGGCAATTATTCACAGCTCAGATAAGACAGCAGTACTTTCTATCATTCCTATTAACCAAATTCTGGTAGATAGTCATCTACGTGAACTGTTTCTCCTCTCCAGGGAAGCAACGTTCAGCGCTGCACGCACAGACACTGAGGTCGCCCAGGTACACAGCTCAGCACCCTCTGCCGTGATGACCAACCACCTTCAAACATGGAATATACAGCCAAAATCTACTGACAGAAGATTGCAGCCCCCTGGAGCTGAGCACATAAAGGAGAGGGCCATCAGCTGCATACACCCTGCTGCAAAGCCTCCTTGTCTGGAGAAAACAAGCACTGGTGGGACCGCAGCACGTTGTCTCTCTGCCACTGCTGGTGAGTTCTTGTGGGCTGGGGGGGCAGAGCAGCCGTGTCAGCTCGGTAGGTTTTCCTATCCTCAGGCCAAGAGAAACAAACAACTGAGATGAGGGGTGTGGGGAGGAGAGATGAGCTACTATATTTTGTTCTCAAAGACTTTTTTTTTTTTTAGCTTTGATAAACACAACTTGACCAAAACCTAAACATGAAAATGTTTGGGTGTGAAGGATAGTCCCAGCATTTACATGCTGCAGCTTTAGCAGACGGGCTAGAGTAGGGCCACACAACTTCCCAGACCCAACAAGACCAGACAGTGCTTGTTTATTTAGTTTTTTTTGGTAGCGCTTATTGCTATAATTATCTGATGTCTTTACTTAGACCAAAGAATTATTCAACACAAAACCTTCTGAATTGAAAAATTGCCTTTTTGTATAATGAACAAAGAGCCCAGAAACAGACAGCTCAAATGAGTTGGCTAAGGTCATAAAGAAAGTCTGTGGCCTGTCCAGGGCATTAACTGTAATTACGTTCACACAGCTGGGATGAGAAACAATTTCAAGCAGCAATATATATATTTATATATATATATAAATTTGCCAAGGTCTCACCCAACTTGTACGCCTGGTTGATAGCCAAACGGACAGGTTAGGATATTGCTTGCGTGGTCAACTTGCTAGCCCCCATGACTCTGCAACAAGGGACAGGAGTTATACTCTGCCCCGCTCATCGACGCACCTTCAAAATTCTGCATTTGAGGAATTTAAATGCTTTGTGTCGCAACCTGCATCGTCTGGGCAGTTTGACAGGAACGAACACGGATGACACACAACTTAAAGGAATGGGCAACGGGCAGAATTTCTGGTGGCACAGCTCATTTGAGATTCAAATGCACAAAGAGCGTGGAAAAAAAGGGCTCATACACGGAACAAGATTAAAAATATCTTTGCATTTACAGATATTTATGCTATGTTTAACTGCTTTTGTGCATGCAACAGCCTTAATTACAAAGAGAGAGATTCCATAAGCAAGGCTATTATGTCAATAACAATGTCTTCTTAAAGCAAGTCTCTAATTCAGTCAGAAGACTTGGAACAGCACTGTCTGGAGTTATAAAACCAAAAGTAATTACAAAGGAAAGGCTGCACCAGACAGTGGGTATTAGTGGAGCCAGGCCATGGCTTTACTCCCTCTTTCCTCCTTTTTGTACATAACTGATACAAACTTCTTTATTTTCTCAGTCCCACTACAGATGTCAGGAAGTTCAAGCAGCCAGTCGACATTTGCAGAATGAATCATGGGGCACCGCTTTCCACTCTGACAAAAACAACTGCTGTTCAGTCAGCGAGGCGATGCTGATCAAATGGGTGGATAGAAAAAGTGAACTCCCGGAACTGCTGCCAAAAAGGCTCCACCAGCACAAGGAAGCTGCACGCACTCCCCTGCAGAACTCCCATTTCTCCCTGTCCTTATTCTGCAGTTCCATTTTCCCAGTTTATTTACCTGCAGAGCGCAGCCTGTGGCACAGCTACCAGCTCTGTCCCATAACTAGAGAAAACACTTTTGCTGGGAGAAGCTAGAATCGTTAAAGCTGGAGGAAAGCAGATATGATTTATGGAACGCGGAGTGCTACAGGAGACAGAAAAAGCAGCTTCCTTTGTTGCCTGTTGCCAAAATTTCAGAAGACCAGACAACAACTTTCAAATTTCCAAGGGAACAGCCACTAAGTACGTCAAAAATAGAGTTAGGAAACTGCCTGTTTCAGAAGTCTGAGTCTGTAAGGGGAGCCAGCATTTTTCAGCATTTCTGTCATTTCCGACCAGATCACTGAAGAGTTAAGAGACATCTATCTACCAACAAAACCCAGCCCCCAGAACATGACAAAATGAGGAAGGGAACCTACGTGGCAAAGAAATATTCACGTATTCACAGTCATTCAATTATTTAAAATAAGTCTAATTATTTTTGCACAATTTTATCCGGAGAAGTTATTTTTCCTCTACAATTTTCAAACATCTCTGCACTTTCTTAGGCATAAGAGGCACAGCAGCAGACCAGGGATCGCTTCACTACAGTCCCCCTTCTGTTCAAAAGCAGATAAATCTGAAAGCGTGAAAAATGCAACCCTCAATGCTCTTCTCTGAAAGGGGGAGATAAGACTTTCCGGGTTCTTTCCGACTTAACTGAAAATTTTGATTTCAATGTTGAAATTAAAGACTTAGAAGAAGGGGAACGTCTCCATTCTTCATTATTCTTCAGTGCTCATTTTCTGGTGCATAGGCGGTAATACAGCACTCATTAACACCAAGAATTACCATATTCAAGTTGCACAGCAAGTTCCTACTACCTACACGAGAAAAATACTGCACAACCCTATTTGCTCCCTTTGCTTATTGTCCGAGACGGATCACATGCTGCAAAAGCTAGCATTTGATCACCTAACAGCAGGGAAATTGGAACAGGTATCCATTAGAAACGCTAACGAGCCTCCAACAGAAAATCATTTCATTAAGTTTTTGCTGATCACTAACAATAGAGAGCTGTGCAGGAAAATTAAGGACTGGAGAAGACGTGTGCTGGAGGCTGCCTGAGAATTAAATCCCCGATGGGACGGGGTAGGAATGCCCCACTGCTTTGAACTTTTTGGCGCATTTCAGGGAGATGCAAATAAAAGACCTGAGTTGCCAGCTTCGTTTCAGAGGGACTTGCACTAGAACTGCTGACAGCCCTGAATGGAGACAGAACCGCGGGGTGCGCCTGGGTACATGGAGAGCATCACAGGGAGCCCAGCAGCAACAGAAAGTAGGACAAATTAATACAAAAAGGATGAAGCACAAGGAGTTCAAATCCCAGGGGACAAACAAGCCCTCTAATGTAGATCAGGATTCCAGAAAAAGGGTATCTGTAAGGTTTGATACCTTATATAGTAATATCCTAGAGTTTCCATTTGTTCTTACCCTCTGCTTTTTATTTCTAATAGATTAATTAAATGGAATCAGCTAATCGCTACAGCAGCTTCATAACTCTTACTTGTTTTACAGGTAGGGAAACAAAGGCACCTAAATTATTGAAAAAATATCAAGATCTAGTAAGGACCTATGGTACCCATTGATTTTAGTTCCTACAGTAATAAGAAGTCAGCAGTTTTGCAAAACACAGGCATATTGGTATAGATTAGGCACCCAGAAATGGAGCAGAAAAGTTTGGCATTGGTGGCCTAATCAAAGCCAGGAAAAGGGAGAATCTAAACTACAGCAATTCATCGCTTCCAGACAGCTTGTATGAATGAACATTTGCTGCTGCTTCAGCTTTTAAGTCAGCTTAGCACACTGCAGAACTATGCAGCTGAAATGTGAAGTACTCAAACACTGAGATCCCTCCAATGTTAGTTGTCATGTTACAGAATAAGTATTAAGAAACGTGCAATGATATAACGCAAGCAAATTCCAATCTGAGATCCTGGCTCTGCTTTCAAGATTCCTTATGAACATTATTTCCTTGGATTTCTCAGTTACCAGTCATAATTACTTCAGATTTGAAACTCAGTCCAAATTTGGCACACTATAAACATCTTATTACAACTGAAATCAATTCTGAGCATTTTTAAACTCAGCAAAGGGATCTTCATGTTGCCTAAGAGGCAGGTAAGGACAAATATTCGTGCTTTGTCAGCACAAACTCCTCTCCTGCAGAACAGGTGGCATTCTTTCAGCCACAGAGGTAGGCAGCAACGCTTGCTCTGGCTCTGGCATGTCAGTTGTCTCCACGCACTGCAAAGTGAATGCAAATTGCTCCTCTCCTCAAGGTCTCCTTCCACGTTCTTGTCTGGCGCAGCCAGACTGAAGAGCCTGTTACATGAACGAACCTCACTCTCTGAAAGGTGAAGGAGGGAAGGCCAGAAGCAGCAGGTACAGCCACAGCTAGCGAAAGTAGGAGAGCAGCAGAAAGAGGCGCTCAGCTTTCCAAGTCGCTATAAAAGCAAATGATAATTTAAAATCTCCAGCAGATAGCGAGATAGGAGGGTAATGAACCAAGATATCAGTGCATGAAAAGGAAGTATCCTATGGAGCCTGTGACCAGTCACCATAACCAGTTTCATAAATAAATGAAAGCAGAACAATCCCTGAGGTCACAGAGTTAGTGTGAGGGACATGAGTGACCTGCCACTTGGAGACACCTACAGAAACAACTGGCGTTAAGAGCAAAAGGACTGACTGGCCAAGCACACAGGAGCTTGGGAAAGAAAGTTGATAGGAGGGAAGGAGGGGAAGAGTCGGGTATTAAACACAGCAGGCAAGTCACTTTAAATAGTAGATAACTAGCACTGCTAGCCTGGTACGCAACAGCTGAAGGCCTAGGGCAAAAAGCAGCAGCTTGGGAATACAAAGAAAGAGGAGAGAACATAAAAGCCAGCTCATTTTTCTCTACTCCAGGCTGAATCAGCCCGAGCACCTCTGCCTGTTTCTATGGCAGAGTACCACGGTTTTGCATCCTTTGTGAGGATTAATTAGTTCACTTGTTGGCAGCATCAATAGAAAGGCCAAGTGTTGGACTGACCAAGGAAAGCACCATTCTCCTGTTCCTGCAGGAGCTTGCTGGTAAAGGTGTGCTTCTTAAGGGAGGTCTGGTCCCTCATTGCATATTTAATTGTACTTTTTCTCCAACTTGAGCACATCAGATTCCAGAATCGTCAGTCAAAAGACCTTCCAGTACCATTAATATCCACTGCTATTACAAATAAGAAATACATTATATTTTCTCTTTGATATTGTGGGTGATCTCATTGAAACCAGTGAAAACAGAAGCCTAAATGCTCTGCCCTGTGGTATCTCAAGGAGCTGGAAGCCTTGTACCAGCGAGAAACTCTTGCAGCAGTTGCCATGGTGACACCCGTAAGAGATATTTAAAGGCAGCTCACCCGTAATCACATCTATTAGGTACCAAGCAGCTTTGGTAAGAAAGACATAAAAAGCTTGAAAACCAGGGGATGGTTTCAAGGCCACCAGGCCTAGGGATGGTGTAAGAGGATGGGAAATTCATGGAGAGGGACCCGCTTATACCTCCATTCGGCTGGGCACCAAGGGCTCCTTCTGTTCAAATCTGAAACAGCGATGAAGTTTGCAGAGTGAACTATTTTTAGCAAGTCATTTAAAATGGGATTCTTAAGGCCATGTTTCAATAGCAGGAGTTCTATAAATCCTTACAGGGTTGTCCTGGCCAGAACAGGAAGCTGTGCTATGACTTGGACCACAGTATGGCTGCTAGAGACCACCATGCCCACCAGAGCTTCCTTCCAGGAGGGGACCGCCACTGCGGGCACTGCTGCTCCCTGCACCCACCTAGGGACCGACACCTCCAAACCTGCCCGGCTCTGGCCATGTGGGCAAAGGAACGGGGCCAGGCTGCTTTTTGAACACTACAGCGCACTTGGAAACACGGATCCAGATAAATAAGCAGCATCCTTGATGAACTAGAAATATAGATGTCAAATAATTTCTTGAGGATTGAACATAACAAAGAAAGTCCACAGGATCAGCTCTCCAGCTATGGAACCACTTCATCACCAAGCGTGCTATGTCTATGCAGCGTTTATCAAATTGAGATTTCCTTTCTCTTTTTCCTGCATATTTCCATGACAACTTCCTCCCCCCCCCCAGTACCAACTTATTTCTATTGGAAAGGTCTCTCAAACGAGAATTTAGGCTTCTATAGCAACAGCTAAAATCCCTGGGAGATGATGATGTCTGAAGCCTCATGCAGATCTTTTTTTAGACTGTGAGTTACAAGGCAAGTGCATTTTGAATTTCATGGAGGAAAACAAAAGTATGCTTAGTATCAGGGAGATGGAAAGAAGGGAACAAGAAGCTCGATGAAGGGGGACAAACAGCAAGGAAGCACGTTACTTTCAAAAAGGATGTGAGCTTTGAGATCTAAAACGTCAAAGAGAGAAGAAAGACGGGATCAAACAGCTTGAAAACCCACATCCTGCTCCTTCTCGCCGAGTTACAAAGCAGAGTCACAAGGAACAGTCTACTGATTCTAAAAGGAGACCTTATTTAAACACACATATCTGTATCTCTGCAGCCTCGTATATTGACCTGGAGAAAAAAAAAAAATCAGGCTGTCCTTTCAGTTTTAACTCCCATATAGCTGCCATCTAGCTACAGTACGATCTTTTATTAGTACTTTAGTTTTGGCCATCACACTGACAGTATTCACCAGCATGGAAAGGCTTTGCACCTCAAAAACAAAACAAAACGAAACGAAAAGCACTCTCAAAACATAAAATTGGTGAAACTCATAGAAGCCAAGGGAAGTACAGACATTAAAGCAACTTCCAGTCACTGCTTTGTGAAATATCCCTAAATTCAATTTACTTCTCTAATGCCCTTTTAAACCTAAGATGTTAAAATCTTATACAAAATCATTACATTCACAAGCTGGATGGGAAGTAAGTAAGCACCAGCCTAAATTTATAGCTGAGGGTACTAGAGTGGAAATGTGAAGTGGTACCTGAAGAACCATGCTCAGAGCCCAGCAGGCTCCCACACAGCCCCTTGATAGCCACTGGAAACCTCTTTGCTACATGAGACGCAAGGTCTGCAGCGTGACCGACTAACACGATTGCAAAACAGCCGTACTTTCTTCTGCTTGTGGTGAGACTGAAAGCTTCTCCTTTTTTCCCCCCCATGAAAGCTTCAGTTAATCTGTCCTCTTCCTCCTCCCATTTGCCTAGGTCATCGTAGTTCTGGGAAAGAAAAAGGTGACAGATAAGGTAGGTGTAAGAGTGAAAAAGAATGGATGAATCAAATTATATTTAACTTCCATCTTCAGCCACCTCCTGCCCAGTTAATTTCTGAAAAGAGTCTGGGAACTGTCCATGTTTTACAAAAAGTTGAGAGAGATGAATTTTTTGTTTGTTTGTTTTTAAATAGTGACGCTAAAAATGACAAAGCTTATTAGAAATGATGGAGCTCTACAAGTAAGAGCCATGTGCAACAGTGATTTCAGCCAAAAATATTCTTTCCAAGGTTTAAACTCTCTGCCCTTTGGGATCCTGTTTGGAGAAGTGTTGGATGAAGGCTGAATCCCTGTACAGGTCAAGTGAAATAGAATTATTTCATATCCCTACGTGCTGCCCTCTGCTGAAATGCTGAGCACCTTCGTGCATTGGGTCCATCACAGGCCAGTGAAAAACTGATGATCAGCTGCACCTAATGCTGTCATCA